GCGCTGAAGACTGCTGCTAACGCTACTAGCACCCAGCGCTGACGACTACTGCTAGCGCTACTACTACTCCTGCAGCGCTCCTCCAGAGTGCTGCTGCCGAATCCTGAAGACCAACTCCTGCCTCCTGAACTGCACGTGAAGTGCCTGGGAAGTACCTAGGAACTACCTGCATGCCTGCAGGGCGGGCCAGTCCGATATAGTGCTGGCCCGTCCAGGAGGCTGCTCTTGCCAATGCCGAAACGTGCCAGTCCCTGGCGTTGAAGCTCAACCAGGGGTTGTCTTGAAAACAGGCCCAAAATGGCCTGTGCTAAAACCCTGGCTTGGTGCCTGAGTTTCAGGGCGGGTCGATCTGATGTGGGCCTGAAAATGGCCGCCAGTTTCAGGCTGAAAAGACTCAGCAGCGCCGGAAAGGCCCTGATTTAGCCTGATTTTCAGGCTTTTTTTGGCCTGAAAGCGTCACGGGCCTGAAAGTGGCCCGTGCAGCGTCACGGGCCTGAAAGTGGCGCAGCCCTTGTTTGCAGCCTGTTGCACACGGCCTGTTGCAGGCGCAGCATGTAACACAGTTTTTCTAACTTCTAGGCTGATTGCCTTCTTTTTTTTCTTTTTTATTTTTATTTTTATTTTTTTTTGTTAGCCTTATGGTGGTGGTAAGAGCATCCTCCGTAAGCGGCCCTGTGCAAGGCCCTTGTGCAAGGCCCTTGTGCAATCTTCTCTGTATTGTTCCAATTTTAACGGATGTCCCGACGGACTTTTGCCTTCTTTTTTTGTCTTTTTTCTGAAGTCGTTTTATTGAAACGGTTTTCACCTGTTAGCAGTTACTGTAGCGACTGCAGATCCCAGGGCTCGATCCCTAGTTCTCACCTTTACCTGTGTACAGCGTCTGCGTCGACCCCGAGTGTTTGAACCCGTGACCTGTGTTTTGACAGTTGTTGTCTATCGTAGGCCTGTGCAGTGGTAGGGGTTCGATCTGTAGATCTCTGCGAAGTAGGAGTCACAGCCCTGTAGAGGTCGTAGCTGTAGGAATCCTGAAAGGTGAACGTCGTTAGCCGCTACGGTCCTGAATGGTCAACGTCGTAGCTGCTACAGTAATCGAAAGGCCAAGTCCACAGACTTCAGGAAGGTCCGGAAGTGGCCTTTCGAAGCTGCCTCACGCTTTAGTCGGAGGCAAGTGGGCAAGTGGTGAGGCCAGCTGCATTACGTCGGCAGTGCGACTGCATCGAGTTGGCAGTGCAAACCCATGCTGAGTCAGCGGTACGGGTCCAGTCGGTCCCAGTCCAGTCAAGCAAGTACCATAAGGGACTGTGTGCACCCTAGGCGTGGTGGAGAGGGGCAGACCAACGAACGAATTACAGAAGTAAAAATCAAGAGGCAGCGCCCAGCCATTGATTCATTCATTCCTGCGTAAGCCATGCGGAAGCGCTGCCACAGCGACTTGTGCGAGGTGGTCTGTCTGCAGTGAGCCCGAAGACGAAGTGGGCGAGAAGGAAGTTTAGCCATAGCGATAGGGTAGAGCAGCAGCCATAGCCGCCACAGCCGCCATAGCTGATGGCAGAGAGAGTAGCGTGGGTGAGTGTGCGGATGTGTAGTGTGCTGCGTGTGGGATAGATATCCAGGGTGATCCTGTGGGCGAACAGCAGTGTTGAGTAAGTGACGAGCAGAGAGTTGTGCAGGCGATGTGCGGCCATAGCCATTTGAAGTGAACTTGTACATATGAGCTGGGTTCTTGGTCACTATATCTCTGAGTTCTGAGTGGGTGCTTGACGCCAGTTTGCTGCGCAACCTGTTTGCATGCATGTGAAGTGTGAGTGAAAGCGAGTCTGATTGCATTTTTTGCCTTTTTGAACGCTTTTTCAGCCAGGCTGAGCGCGTCGGTTATCTTCGAGAAGGTTGCACTGTAGTATTTTTAGAAGTCCATGGGCGTTTCTCCACTACGCAGTACTCTATATGATGCATTTGGACGTTTTGTGGACCAGGTTGCACTCGGACGAATTCGAACGTGTATCTGTTCCAGAAAGCGTCCAAAATTCTCCAAATGCATGTAGTCTAGAGTGTTTCACTGTTTTTGCAACGGAGGGAGGCCGCATGTTTCTCCTTTTCAGACCAACAGGCTGCCGGTTTCATCTATCCTTGGCACTTTTTTTTTTTTTTTTTTTGGGGGGGGCTTTTTTTTTATTCTTCCAGCTGGGATAGGAATTGCCCAAGACAATAAGTCTAGAGTTATGAAAAACGATAGGCTAAGCTATAAAGCTTGTGGCATTATGCTATGATGCTTTCCGCGGCGCTGTGTTGAGAGAAAAATTATATCGCCATCCCCCGGGACCTTGTCCCACTAGCTCCGTTGAGCTACCGGTAGGTCAACGATGGATTTTCGGCGGCGCTGTGTGTCACTGACCGTACGCGACAACGGAGAGAGATGCACGTCGTTGTTCGAGTCATCTAGCGGTCCGTTTTGAATTAAAAAAAAGGCAAATAGAGACTCTCTTCTTTTTTTTTTTTTTT